CTGGTCCCTCCTGACAATATGTCCAAAGCATGAGAGACGAAGTTTGGCCATCCTGGCCTCCAAGGAGCACTCTGGCTGCACTTCTTCCAACACATATCTGTTGGTTCTTTTGGCAGCCCATGGCACTTTCAATATTCTCCTCCAACACCATAACTCAAAAGCATCAATTCTCCAACGGTCTTCCTTATTCACTGTCCAGCTTTCGCATGCATATGTTGTTGTTGTTGTTAAGTGCCGTGGAGTTGGTTTCAACTCATAGCAACCCTGTACAGGGTTTCCGAGGCTGTAAATCTTTACGGGAGCAGAAAGCCTCATCTTCTCCCACGGAACAGCTGGCAGTTGAAGCTATTGAAAATACCATGGCATGGGTCAGGCACACCTTAGTCCTCAAACTGATGTCTTGGCTCTTCAACACTTTAAAATGGTCTTATGTAGCAGGTTTGCCTAATGCAATACGTCATTTGATTTCTTGAATGCTGCCTCCATGAGTGTTGATAGTTGATATAAGAAGAATGAAGTTCTTGATAATGTCAATTTTTTCTCTGTTGATAAGAATGTTGTTTATTGGTCTAGTGGTAAGGATTTTTGTTTTCTGTACATCGAGATGCAATTCATACCAAAGGCTGTACTATTTGATCTTCATCAGTAAATACTTTAAGTCTTCTTCATTTTCAGTAAGCAAGGTTGTATCATCTGCATATTGCAGGTTGTTAATGAGTCTTCCTCCAAACCTGATGCCACCTTTTTCTTCATATAACCCACCTTCTCAGGTTATTTGCTCAGCATGCAGGTTGAATAAGTATGGTGAAAGAATACAACTCTGTCACACACCTTTCTTAATTTTAAACCATTCAGTGTTCCCATGTTCTGTTCAAACAACTACCTCTTTGTCCACATACAGATTCCTCATGAGCACAATTAAGTGTTCTGGAATAATCAGACTTCACAATGTTGTCCATAGATTGTCATGATTTACATAATCAAAAGCCTTTGCGTAGTCAACAAAGCACAAGTAAACGTCTGTTATTTTCTGCTTTCAGCCAAAATCCATTGGACATCAGCAATGATATCCCTCATTCCACGGCCTCTTGTGAATCTGGCTTGAACCTCTGGAAGTTCTCTGTTATTGTATGTTTGCTGCCATTTCTGTATTACCTTTAGTAAAACTTTACTTGCATGGACTACCAAAGATGATTTCCTCATTCTGTTGGGTCACGTCTCTTTGGAATGGACACAAATACGGATCTCTTCCAATCAGTTGGCCAGATAGGTGTCTTCCAAATTTCCTGGCATAGATGAGTGAGAGCCTCCAGTGCCGCCTCACTTTCCTGAAAGATTTCAGTTTTTATTCCATCAATTCCTGGAACCTTGTTTTTTGCCAATTCCTTCAATGCACCTTGGACTTCTTCCTTCAGTATCACTGGCTCTTGATCACAGTTGAACATCAACCATTTCCTTTTAGTACAGTGACTCTGTGTATTCCTTCCATCTTCTTTTGATGTTTTCTGCATCATTCAATCATTTGCCCAGAGAATCCTTCAATAACTACATTAGAGGATTGAATTTTTTCCTTCAGTTCCCTCAAGCTTGAGAAATGCTGAATGTGTTCTTCCCTTTTGGTTTTCTGACTCATTTCGTTGTAATATTTGACTTTGTCTTCTCGAGCTGACTTTTGAAATTTTCTGTTCAGCTCTTGTACCTCCTCATTTCTTCCATTTGATTTAGCATCTCTATGCTGGAGAGCAAGTTTCAATGTCTCTTCTGACATCCATTTCGATCTTTTCCTTGTTTCTTGTCTTCTTAATGACTTTTTGCTTTCTTCATGTACAATGTTCTTGATGGGCACACATATATACATGTTCATGTGTGTTGCATATATGAGGGGGCTTAAAAAACTTCATGGAAAAATTGCATTATCTTTCTATCTCATTTTCCGTGAACTTTTTGAAACTCTCTTGTAATATAACATGATATATAATAAAAGTACATGAGGGCACAGTTAGGGGGACTACCCAGACCAAGTCAAACAACCACTCTCTGGATTGTTTACTGGATTAAAAGGCTTAGGTCCATAGTCTCATGGAACAACTTACTCAATTATTATAATTTAATTCATAATGATAATGCTCTACACCATGTTTGGTGAGTAGCATCTGGGGTCTAAAATGCTCGCAAGCGCCATCTAAGATACAACTATTCATCTCTACTCATCTGGAGCAAACGAGGATGAAGGAAACCAACGATTCAAGAGAAAACTAGTCCACAACATTAATACAGTCCACACAAACTACAGTGTCTTGTAACCTAAGACCAGAAGAACTAGATGGTGCATAGTTACCAATACCAACCATTCTGACTAGGGCCATAACCGTAATAGAAGGGCCTGGGTGGTGGTGGTGGTAGAATGGGAGAAAAATGTAGAACAAAGTTCCAATTCCTAAAAAATGCTGACCTACTGGGCTGATAAAGACTAGAGGAATCCCAAAGATACCGTTTCAATTTGGCACTGAAGCTAATTCTGGAGGTCATCTTACAAATAGCATATAGACTTACAAAATAAACAATGTCATCCATGAGTGATGTGCTGACCAAATGCTCAACATTTACCTAAAAGCAATGCTAAGAAGGCAAGGGGAGGAAGGAAAGCTAGAGCAACGGAAACAGAATGGAAATTATGAGAATTGCTGACTCTGTGAAAATTGTAACCAACGTCATGGAATGATCTGTATAAAAAATTGTTACATGGGAAACTAATCTGCTATGTAAGCTCTCACCTAAAATGTAAAAAAAAATATGAAAACAACAACACAAAATGCTTTTTCAGGAACTGGCACCTGAAATTCCATGTTTCTTACTTCTCTGTTCGTATTGCGAACAGTGGAACCCAAGGGAACAGTTCAGTTGAGTTGACCAAAGTAAATCATACAGACTGCAGACCCTTGGTTCAGTTGACCCAATATCATTTTTTCTAGAAAAGTCACAGACATACTAAAAATATATTAAAAGTGAGTGTCTCAAGGCATATTTTCCCTCAGTAAAAAAACAAACAAAACAGATGACAAGAGCATTTCTTTGGCATTTATGAGAATGAGTCTGAAATCCCTAAAGATTCAGGATAGTAACTGTGCATTTGACCTGTACCTAGTCAAACTAATTGATTATTTAATTGAAACCCACTCAACAGCACTTAACAATAACATTATATATGTTAATACTAGACTTCTGTGAAAATCTTTTTCTAATGTTATTTTACATTTCTGTATTTTTACACAAATTTATCTTAAGAGCTAAGCAATGGTCCAGTGCTGTAGGATCAGCACTTGACAACAAGGTCGGTTTGAAATGCAAGATTGGTGGCTCAAACTCACCAGCCGCTCCTCAGAAACCATATACAGGGTTGCTATGAGTCAGCACCATCTTAACGGAACTTAACAACATCCAGCAACTGATGTCATTGTTAGTTATAGGATATAGTCTAAAGCATTTTCTAACAAATTTGGGGATTTTCAGGACATAGGAATGTTATATAAACATAAAAAAGCTGTTTATACTTTATAATTAAATATTTATAATTAAAGCTTTAAAAAAGGGAGAGGTGGGAAAATCAACGTACAGATATTTAGATGAAGCTATCATTTGTAAAAGCACCAGACCCATTTTCTACTTAGTGGCAGATTTCATTCAAAGGAAAATTTATCAATAAACAATTACCCTAAATAAGGACCTCCATTCATTAAATCAAACACCTGAGCTGGGTTTAGCAACTGTTTAAATCGACGAAGGAACTTTACTCCCTGATTATCTCCACTCTTGGAATTGACAAAAACCAGTAGAGGACTAACACAGAATGAAAAGGTGGCTCTACAGAAACCTGTAAAAAAAAATAAAAACAGTACAAAATCAATAGATACAGTCTTTTCTTTAAAATTATTAACACAAATAAAGAAAAGAAGGTAACTCATAAAGAAATAAACGTTACTTATATTTGAACAACAAACTTTAATCCTATTCCTGTCCCAAATGGGGATATGTTTATTATTTATATATTAAGAATAGAAAGTTATCTTTTTAAGTATAGTCTACAATGAAAAAAATGTATTAATAATAGATCATTTGAGATATACCATCTGCATTAACTATACTTAGTTATAGGAAAAAATAGTCTATAAATTCACATTTGTCAATAAATTTACATATTCATACTCAATATTTTAAAACATTTTAACTGATCCTTGCTAGTTAATTTATATTAAAGTAATAGAATCCTGAGATATAAGAACATGTGTATGTGGTGAGGAAGGTTGGAAATAACAGAGGTTAAAGGAAAAAAAAAAACAAAACCTGCATGATTTTAGGTATGTGTGTATATAGGTAGTCCTGGTGTGGTGCTGTGGGTTAATGCGCCAGACTGCAAAGCCGTAAGAACTGCAAGGTCGGCGGTTCAAGCTCACCAACTGCTCCTTGGAAACCCTCTACAGGGTTGCTATGGTTTGGAATCGACTAGATGGCAATTAACAACAACAACATACATATATGTATGTGTCTATCTATCTATCTATCTACACACACACACATATACAAGTATATATGAGAGTCCTGGTGTGGTGTTATCGGTTAATGTGGACTGCAAGGTCAGTTTAAACCACAAGGTTGGTGGTTCAAGCTCACCAGCTGCTCCTCAGAAACCCTATACAGGGTCATTATGGGTCAGAACTGACTTAACAACTCTCTCTCTCTCTCTTTCTAGATATATACATATATCTCAATAGATATCACAGATATTGATCTTTATTGGTACAATTTATATTAAATGTTTGAAAAGCAAAAAGACTAATTAATACAAAACATTAATATTAGTATATCGTGAAATACTAATATAAAAAATATAATCTGCTTAGAAGAAAGTTATTTATTAGTGTATTGTTCCCAAGCCAGCCATAATTAACAGGTGCTTCAGCACTTACAACTAAGCTGTAAGATTCTGGGAAAAGTGAATGAATTTATAGGAATAGAAATTCCTGCAATGAAATTAGAGAAAAACAGACTGCAATAATAACAATGCTAATGGACAGATGAATCATGAGGGGGGTGGAGGAGTTCATAAAAATTAACCTTTTCATATTACATTTCAGTAAAGAATAATGATCTCATTTGGCAAATTTTATGTAATACCCATGTCTTATATGTAGTAAGTTTATCACTGTAAAATAGTTACATGTTACAAATTTAATTTTAAAATAATCCCAAAACTTAAATGTACTATTCAGTAATTTAAATGGTGTTATTACATAAAAACTGACCCAAATAGCCAATTATAGTTCCCTTAATTCTAGGAAAAGAAATGAACATATCTACATTAAATATACCAGAAATATAGATACTTACACTACCATTTACTCACCATCAGAATCAGTACTGTTTAGTGCAATTGGAGGAATAACAGATACTTTACATTGGCCAAGTGGGCATACCGGATGGTATAAATCTTTGCAGGCAGTGTGTACCTAAAAACAAACCAATACATTTTCAAGAATCACAAAAACACATTAACGCTTTGCTATGCTATCAAGCTCACCAGCTGCTCCTTGGAAACCTTATACAGGGTTGTTATGGGTCGGAACCAACTGGATGGCACTTCACAAAAACAACAAATGCTATAAATCAACAGTTAAGGAACTGATCATTCAGAATCAATGTCATCACAAAAAAGTTCAGGAATTCATAAATTACTTTAATGGCACCATATTTATGACTGCTAAGGGAAGGGAATTTAATCTTGGCTTCTATAACCTATTTACAAGAATGTTTTATGCAAGCAACACACAGTCTGCAAATGTCTGGTGAAGGAAACAGAGAGGAAGAGAAGAGATGAGGAGTACAGAAGGAGGGAAAGGAACCAGCATGCCTCGGGATCATTGTCCATAAAACAAACTGATGACATTTCTCTTCTAAAATTCTTATAAGAGGAAGACCCCAACGAGATGGACTGACACAGTGGCAACAACAATGGATTCACAAAAAAAAACAATTGTGAGGCTGGCTCAGGACCCTTCAGCATTGCCTTCAGTCATGCACAGGGTCACTCTGAGTTGGAATGAACAAAAGCGACAGAACTTCAAAGAGTTCATAGAAGAACTTGCTTCTCTTTTCATTCCATTTTCCATGAACTTTTTGAAGCCCCTCATATTTATGTTATATAATCATATTACAGGATCACTGCAGAAAGAAGCATTTAAGATTGTGTGAGGGGACTTCAAAAAGGTCATGGAAAATGGAATGAAAAGAGAATAGAGTTTTTCTATGAACTCTCTGAAGCCCCCTCACACAATCTTAAATGTTTCTTTCCACAGTGATCCTATAATTGTCTGTCTGCACTTTTTATGTCATTTTTTAAATGATTAGAGTTGTACTCTTATAGGTTTCATTACATTACACACACACACACACATACATAGGGCTCTTGGTGTCTTGCTGTAAGATATCCAGATATAGGTGGAAATACTGAGTTCACCCATTCAAAAAAAACAAACAAACAAAAACAAAACAAACCCAAACCCAGTGCCAGAGTTGGCTCCTACTCATTGTGAACCTACAGTATAGGACAGAGAGTAGAGCTGCTCCTTTAGGCTTCAAGGCCCTAATGCACACTGCTTCATCCTTCTCCTGCAGAGCAGCCGCTGGGTTTAAACTGCGGACCTTGTGATTAGCAGTCCCGTACTTATCCTACAGCGCCACACCAGGACTCTGGTAAAAGCAATTATGAGTATAGGAGTATAAAGCATGTCTAAAACAATTCATCACACATTTAACTTTTAAAAGAAAAAAATACAGATGACTCTCAGGAAGCAGAGAAATAGGCTCCAATGAATGTACAGATTCATAAAAATAGCAGTAAATACATACTTTTCCCCCAAAGGGGATGGGGAATTAAGACTTTATTTCTTGCTTATGAATTGTCGTCGTCATTGTTGTTAAGTGACATTAAGTTGGTTCTCACTCATAGCAAATCTGCACAGGGGTTTCTGAGCAGCAGTTGGTGGGTTTGAACTGCCGACCCTGTGGTTCGCAGTTCAGGAGCCCTGCAGTTCTTCTTTTAAAAATAAAAAATGGCAAAAAAGAGAATCAGCAGGCTAGGGTTCAAGTGAAATTCCAAAGCTCTATATCACTTATAGTCTATATAATTATTTTAAATCGGATTAAGAAAAAGGAAAAGGTAATATAGATGTCTAAGAGGACATACAAAAACTGACCTAAATAACCAATTTGATGGAGAATAACATCAAAGTATAAAGATAAATAGATTTATGTTTGACTTAAAAATTAAAAGGAAGTATAAATTGGAGTTCTGGTATAAACTGAAGTGTATATTGGAGTTCTGCTGTGGCACTGTAGGACAAACACTGGACTGCAATGTTGGTTTTGAACTGAAAAGTTGTTGGTTCAAACTCACCAGTCACTCCTCAGAAACCCTAGCAAGGGTCCCTATTGATTTGAAACCAACTCAACGGCACTTAACAACAACACCAGAAATTGCCTATCAGGTTTGATTAAGACGTTCAAGGCCTTAATTTTCCTCTGTGGCCCAGGAAGTGTGTCTCAGTGATGCTGAAACCAAGATTTCATACTCACACGGCTCACAGTTACTGATTGGTATACCACACTTACTAGAGCAACCTTTTTATATTTGAAACTGACTTCTAAATTTGGGACCAGCAGCTTTCAGAGACTAAAAGATTTAACGCAAGACCCGATGAATAAAACAGCTCCAAGAGCAACACAATTACAACCTCAGCCAAGCAGCAGCTCTCAATGCTAGCCTCAGTTACTGCCTCCTGTTTGCAGGGCCTCTTTCCCGTGCCCCCTGCCCGCATGCAGACGTCTAGCACAGCGGGCCAGTTCTTGCTGCTGGCTCCCTGTTATGTTGCACGTGCTTCCCCCATCTCCTTATACATGCAGGGAAGTTGAAAACATTTTAAAAATCAGTTAGTGCATAATCCACAAAACTTGGCGCTTTGTCTATCACACAATGTACTGGATGTTAGCTATATTACTTTTTTTAAGTTTTATTGTGAATTGAGTGATAGTTTATATGGGAGCATATCAGTTTTAAACTCATCCTATCATATTTTGTTTCACTGCAATGATTACAATTCCCTCCATGCATCATCATTCAGCTACATTACATTTTGTGCATTGACCAAAATTTGGTGGCCCTCCAAAGAAGGGTTGTCTGTGTTAAACAGGCAGTGATGCATGTTTGAAAATAATAAACCACTAAGTGTGGCTAAAGTGTTGTTGTTGTGAAGTGTGTCATGTCGGTTTCCACTCACAGCAAACCTGTATAGGGTTTCCAAGGAGTAGTTGATGGGTTTAAACTGTCCACCTTGTGGTTTACAGTCTAGTTCTGATCCTAAAGCACCACACCAGGAGTCCAGGATACTGGCCTGTTATTGTTGTTAAGTGCCATCGAGTTGATTCCCACTCACAGCAACCCTATATAGGGTTTCCAAGGAGCAACTGGTTAGTTTGAACCATTGATCTTGAGGTTAACAGTTCAGTGCTTATCTTACAGTGGCTAAAATATAATGGGAAACAATACAAGTTTGGCAGAGTTCCCTAGGCAGTGTAAATGTAATAATAGCTAAGTGGCACTTCATGTCCTTTTGGACAATGTCTGACTGCATGTATGTCTGCGGTCCCATAAGGTTTGTTCTGTTGTTTTTAAGGGAAAATAGCTCTCCTTTTGTGTATTATTTCCCCCTAATGGAGTCCTGGAGTGGCACTGTGGGATACAGCACTGAACCACAAAGTCAGTTTGACCCACAAGGTCGGCAGTTCAAGCTCTCTAGTTGCTCCTCAGAAACCTTATACAAGGTCACTATGAGGTGGAACCAACTCGATGGCACTCAACAACAACAACAATGGAGTCCTGGTGTGGCACTGTAAGATAAGCATTTGACCACAAGGTCAGTTTAACTGCAAGATCAGCAGTTCAAATCTACCATTCATATCTTGGGAACCCTATATAACACTTAACAGTAACAATGGTTTTTTTAAACTCCAAACCCAAACTCTTGCAGCACTGGACCCCAGGTGGCTCTGGGCAAGGCTCTGGGTATAGGCTCTGAGGCTTTGTCAGGAAGACCGGCAGTGGAGCTCGGGGCGGGAAGGGGGGCAGACAGCTCCTGTAGCAAGGGTTCAAAGTCCTGCATGCTGCTCAGGTGCACTCTGGCCCTCCTTGCTTGCTTTTTCTCCCTCTGCTCCCACTCCCACCACTGCAGGTGGTGCCTGTTCCTGTGCCCTCCCCCAGCAGTGACAAGGACAACCAGAAGTAGGCTTCTGTAAGGAAGAGCCTGGGCCCCACAGCTCCACATCCTGCCCTCTAGATACAGGTATGTGTTGTGTAATGTCCACAATACAGTCTGTGGAATAGGAAGTTATGTGATTTCAATGTTGTGCAAACACCTTCTGATGGACACTGACGCTATATACCTGTATCACAAAAAGGACATTTGAAAAAGTGGTCAGACTGGAATACACCTTTATTGAAGTTGATAGTAACAATGGCGGGGGAAGGTGTGTTATACATTTTTTTGCTCTGCCTCTAAACCTCATGTAAGAAAAAGTTACAAAAAGGAATGAGGTAAAGAGAAGTCGGTAAACAGAAAATCCTTACCATTGCTTTACACCACAGGCACTTCCAGTCTTGTAGACGGAGAACACTGCCGCATGTTTTATCACAGAGAATACATTTGGCACTCACAGGCAAGTTGCCCTCGAGCCACTGGTGAGGCATGGCTATCTGGGGGGAGAGGGAAAGGGCAGGCAAGTGAAAGACTTGAAGGGCCTAAGTCTCCATCCTTTCCTAGTGAAGAAAGAAAAGACTCAATAATGAGTATTGCTCAGGGTACTCATTCATTTACCAAACTTTGATTTCGTACTTATCACACTCTGAGCCCACAAAGTTGGCAGTTCTAACCCACTAGCTGCTCTTCGTAAACCCTATACAGGGCTCCTATGATTCGGAACTGACTTGAAAGCACTTAACAACAATGCAATGAGCACTGTAGGGATACAAAGATAAACCAGTCGCCATTGGGTCAATTTTGAATCACAGCTACCCCACATATGTCTGGGTGGGACTAGGCTCCATAGGGCTTTCAGCAGCTGATTTAGGACAGTAAATTGCCAGGTCTTTCTTCTAAGGTACCTGTGGGTAAACTTGAGCCACCAACCTTTTGGTTAGCAGGAGAGTGTGTTAACTGTTTGTCCTATCCAGAGAATGCAACACAAAGATGTGTAATCCCTTGAGGATTCCTAGTCTAGCTGAGGAGAAAGGCATGTAAAGGCATTATCATAAATTGATCATTAAATGCTTCCCTAGATTTGCATATGAACAGGAGGTGCTATACATGCAAGGGGAAACCCAGCTGAGAGAAGATCCTGCAATCTAAGGAGTGATGCTCTGGGCTAAGTGTGGCAGAACATGTCAGTTTGTGAGGAAAGGGTCTCCAATATCAGTCCATCACAACAGCTATTCCTCAACCCTATTTGTAACAGATATTCCTCAAATTTAAAAGCTGAAGAAAGCTACAAAGGATCGAATTGAACATAAAAGCTCATAATTAAACAAAACCTTCCCACTGACCCATCATTTCAAACATTTTCCACAAGAGCAGAAAACAGAGAGAGGAGCGGAAGACAGAGCAGAAACCTACGCCGTCTTCATCCTCTATGACATCCTTCCCGATGGAAGCCAGGGTCGTCCATTTGCAGTTATTTGTGGCTCTCACTGCACACCTTTTGTGAGCCTTGAATTTACACACTAAAAA